CCCCAAAACCCCAAAACCCCAAAACCCCAAAACCCCAATTAATAATTTAGAAATTGAACTGCTAAATTGATTGTTTTTGCCAACTTCAGATAATTTATTTATCCTCTTTTTTGTCTTCATCTTTCTTTTTGTCATCTTTTTTATTATCTTCTTCTAGACAGCCTTTAATGGCATCGTCAGTCATGGGAACACCAAGATCTTGCATAAGTTCACCTAAAAACTCTTCATTAATTACTCCTTCAAGATCTTCTTCTGGCTTATTTTCAGCCTCTTTGGCTGGTTGTTCAGCTGTTTCACCTCCACCTTGCATAGAGAGTAGCTTAGCTTCTTCAAGAGCTGCTTCATAATCCTCATCTTCTTCCATATCTTGTTCCTCCATAATTGGTTCAGCTGGGGTGTCTTCTTTGGCTTCCATTGGAGCATCTGCTGGCTTATCTTCAGGTTTAGAATCTCCTTCTTTATTTTCACTGGGTGCTTGACTATTTTTATTTTTCTCTTCTTCTAATGAAATCCGAATAGCCATAGCTAGTTCAGGGTCTATATTGGGATCGATTCCTCCATATTCAGCGAACTGGCCTCCAGCACTGGCTCCTGTTGCGGGTTGGTCACCTCCTTCAGCAGAAGGAGGAATGTCTCCACCCATATCGTATGCTACCAGAGGAGATGTGATGATTGTATCAGCAATATTTGCACCATAGTTAATTTCTGTAATATGTGAATTCCCATTTTTATTCGTATTCTCTACTAAGGTCGTCAAGAGAGGGATATTTTCAGGATGACCAAAATTTACTACATCAATAGCAACATCATTCTTTCTTAGTTGCTTGCCAAGTTTCTTGAAGTCATTATCTTCAAATCCTTCTATTGGTGATCCAATGAAGACTATAATTCTTTGTTTCTGGTTCTTGTTTTGTCTATGCTTGAGGGATAATTGAGCAATTTTGACTGCCCTTGGTAAATCTATGTATCCATGAATAGGCATTTTTGAGATAGTGGAAAGAAGTCTCCCAACATCATTTGTCTGCGTTAAGAAAATCTCAGGTCTCTTTCCTGCCATGGACATCATACCTAGTGTGCTTTCTGGGTTCTGTTGAGTTTTAGCATCACAGATCAGATTGGCTGCATCCTGCTGTCCTTCAAATCTGGATGGTTTGTAGTCTCCATTTCTTGTCCACTCTGAATTGTCAATTCAAAGCATGACTGCTTCAAGCCCCATATTTGATAAATTTATATAATTTTCAACTTTTTGGTTGAAATGTGGGGTTTTGGGGTTTTGGGGTTTTGGGGTTTTGGGGTTTTGGGGTTTTG